TATATTTATTACTTTTTATTTAATATAATTTTATTTTTAATTAAATTTAAAATAACATTATAAACATTAATAAGATCAAAATTAATATTTCTTATTTAATATAATTTTTTAATTTAATATGTAATTATTATTATTATATATATTTATTAATTAATTGTACATATTAAATAAACAAAAAAAAATTTGTTTAATAAAAGAAAAGTTAAGGAAGGTATTAAAACATTTGATAAATCCGCATATACATATAAATGCATTCTTAATTCACTTCGATAGCTTTATGTTAATTGGACGCATATATGTGGCCCACCATAGCACTCAAAGAATTCAATAAAAAAAATTCACATCGAGTTTTTTGTTTCAATTGCAGGAGTAACGTTCAAAGCGCACAAATTGATCCTCGCAGCATGCAGCAAACATTTCCAGGAACTTTTCGAAGGGACTCCACCATTTCCCGCAGGACTGATCGTTATTCTAAACGGGACGAGCGCCGATAATATGAGATCACTTCTCGAATTTATGTACCGCGGTGAGGTACACGTGTCACAAGATTCTCTCAGTTCTTTTCTCAAGGCAGCGGAATGCCTTCAAGTACGTCAAATCGTCTCCACCATTTTTATTCATCCATTTTATTTTTTTTTTCTGATTTTCTTCATTTCTCATTTTTCTATATTTAATTCAATTCATTTTTTATTAGTAATTTTTGTACGTTTGTTCAACTCTAAGTTAATTCAAGTAGGATTAACTTAATTTAACTTAGTGTAACTTAACTTATACTCTAAGGTACTCCTTTCATATAAAAAAAAAAAACTCAAAAATATGAAAATTCTGTACAACAGGTGAAAGGTCTATCGATCGAGCACGAGAAACTAGCAGTGGCGCACAGACACGCGGCAGGGAGCAATAATTCGTCAACGGACACAGGTGGAGAGGGTGGTGGTGGTGGCGAGGGTGGAAGTGGCACCGAAGTCGGTGCAACAGGAAACGTCATCGCCGGTGGAAGTAGCGGTGGTGGAAGTGGAGGTGGAGGTGGAGGTAGTGTTGGTGTTGGTGGTAGTGGTGGTGGTGGTGGTGGTTGTGGTGGTAACAGCAACAACAACAACAACAACAACAATAACAACAGCAGTAACAACAACAACAACAACAACAATATTGGAATTAGTAGCAGCAGCAGCAGTGTTGGACCTGGTGGTAACCTCGATGACAATGCCACCACCAATGGGGGTAATGCAAGTGGTAGTATCGTTGCTGGCACCGGTGCCGTATCCAGTGCAAGTACCTCCTGTGAGGATGGAATTGATGACATTGTTGATCCCAATAATGAGGCCGGTGAAGTCCCAATGCTGAGGAATAGTATAAAAAGATGCAGAGATGCAACCCCTACGCCTGCACCTTCCCCAGCACCGGCATACCCCGTACCAAACATATTTCCCCAATTTTATGAAAGCCCTCCCAAGAAGGTAATGAGGTAAGGCCCCAACCCTTCTTTATCTCACTTCCTTTTTATATTCTTATTCTTCTTCTACTTCGTATTTTTATTAAAAAAAAAAAAAAAACTGCGATACTATTATTGACGACATGTTTTTTTCTGTTTTTTTTTTTTTTTTCCTTAAGTGTCTTTCAATGACCTTTCGCGAGACTAATAAATACAATATATCACGATTAAATACATTGACGCAATTGAGGGGGGTTGGAGGGAGCACGTTCGTTCGACCGTGTCACGAGATTAAGTTTCTTTCGAAATTATGCAAACTATGCGTGTTAAAATTACGCATGTACATATATCTCTCTCTCTCTATATATATATATGCGTTATGTACTATATACATATATATGGCGTGTTGTTAGTTGCACACGCACTACGTGTTTAGCTTATCTAACAAGTCAGAGACAGACAGAACCGAATTGATTCTTCGAGAACTTTCGCATTAAGTTTCGTAATCCGTTTGATAATCGATACGATTTCATCATTTTCCTTCTTTTTTTTATTTYGTTCGTTCGTTGTAACAAGTAGGTGTAGTGGGGAAGGGGGAGAGAACAGACGCGTGTGTTAGTTTCTTTTTTTTTTTTTTTCTTCTTCTTCTTCTTTTCTTTCTCTCTTTTTTATATGTTTCTTCTTAATTAGGAATATAACTCCGGTGCTTCTAATAAAACAATTGTAGTTGTTTGTTTGATCTTTCAGAAGTTCGAACGAGGTTGACGCGTTAGGTAGGGCGAGCGTTTTGCGCGACGGTGCAACGTTCCGGCCAGCATCTGCACCACAACCACATCTTTTGGAAAATCATTTTTATCAACCGTTTGCTCATCCATCTGATACACCTGCCCATTCGCATACTGCGCCCCATACACCAACGGAACTAGAACAGGAATTGGAACAAGCAAGATCGGAGGAACGTAATAACTGTGATCACAAGGAAAGCGTCGCGGAAGGTTAGTTTGATTTAAACAATTTGTATTTTTATTCTTTTCTGTACAAAATTTCAACCCTTATGGGTTGCATAGAAATAAAATTAAGACAAATATTTCATCGTTACGAGAAAACTTTCACTTACAGTAATTGATGAAGTTGTATTGGCATTTTGAATGTTTTCAATGCAAGAAGTGAAGGTTAGTTTAATTCAAAAAAAAAATATTCCTGTACAAAATCAGAAAAAATAGATCGTCGTTTATAAAACTTTCACTTGCAACACAATTGATGAAGTTGTATAATAATAAAAATAACCCCCCCCCTCATGGGTTGCATAGAAATAAAATCAGAACAAATATTTCATCGTCACGATAAATCTTCTATTTTTTTTTTTTTTTTTTGATAGATTTACGAATAAAACAAGAACCAATGGCATTGACGGATCGAGAACAAGCTGAAACATTGGCAGAAAGATTGTCGAGCGAGGTGTATTCCGGTGATAGGGGGTTCGAGGGTTATTGCACTAATTCGAAACTTTTTTCACGTGGTGCACAAATGGGATCCGCGATGTTATCGATACCACCGGCACATCCACCGACTACAGATATAAAACCAGCTTTAAGTAGCCCTGCCATGTGGAATACGAAGATAAACAAGGCTGGAACCGTATCGACACCCGAGGGTGAGTACCAATCATTTTTTATTTCCTTAACCCTTCGTCACTATAAGGGTATTTTTATTCTTTTTTGGTAACTTTCAGCATACGTGGGTTTTTCATTTCCGGCCCTTTTTTCTTGTTCTTTTAAATTACTTAGAAAAATTCTTGTTTTTTTTTTTTTTTTTTAAATTTCATGCAAATTTTCGAAAAAAAAAAACTTTCAATTTGATATTATCAATTAATCATTTATTATCATAATTTATTAATCATTTAAATAATTAATTATAATATCATTTAATAATAGAAAAATGTATTTTATTTATTTATTTTTTAGTTTTTTTTTAAACAAATGAATATGAAATATGTAAATGTAAATCGAAGGAAAGGGGTTAGTAATATTTTTTCCTTTATGATAATTTGCTGATACTTGCACAATACAAATAAAAGAAAAACAAACGTCATGAATAATTATTTAAATAAAAACATTTACATTTAGGTCGATTAGTTCTATTATTAAAGTAGCAGGTTGCACAATATGAGTGCATAGTCTACTCGTACACGTGGAATTAATTCAATCGATGTTGCAATTGAAACTTTCCCATACCCTTTTGTAATAATTTTCGCCTACTCAAACGAAAAGTTAGTCCTTTTTTAGTCCTTTCTCATTCACTTGCAAGGTATTTCCTTACTCAATTAATTTTACCAATTGTAAAAAGGAAGCAAAACTTAGCTGTCGTGACTTTTCTTTCGAAATGTTTTCAGAACTTCGTTAATCGAATATAAAACACACACACCTACATTATGTGATGGTGGTGGTGATGATGATGGGAAGAAAAGAGGGGTGGGAGGGGAGGGGGCGAGGAGGGGGGAGGTATCACAACATTATAAAAAAAGACGAACAGTCTTCTTGAGTGAACCTTTCGAAACTTCCGCATTACAAGGTTCGACGATTTTCAAAGTCGTCATTCGTGTTAACCTGCTATAAAACGAGGTGGAGAATAGGCGCATAGGTAAAACCTAGAGAAGGTGTAACGAAGGTTGGTTGGGTAGTCGCATTAAGTTGCTGCTCGAGGTGTCACAAAGAAACTATGAGAAAAAGAGAAAGAGAGAAGTGTGGGGGGGGGGAGGGAGGAGGAGGTGGGAGGTGGAAGGGAGTAGTAAAAAAAGAACACAAGGAGTTAGAAAGAGAAAGGTGCCGACGAATTTCGAAGTAGCCAGCCGTCGTGTGCATCACTGTGATAATATATATATATATATATATATATATATATATTTTCGTGGCAAGGTAGTCCTTTTGTTTTTTTTCTCCTGCCACGTGTCTACGTCACAGTCTCCGCTTCGGCGACCCTCTAACGTGCAGAAAGAGAACACCAAGTGGGGGGAAGGGGGCGGGTTGGGTTGGGTGAGTTAGATAGGAACCTTTTTACGTGAACGTTATTTCTGTGTGCGTAAAATCCCTGTCTTCTTTTTCTTCTTCGTCATATCATCAGCATCATCGTCGTACGTGTATATATATGTGTATATGTGTGTATGTGTGCATGTGTGTTTTTCTAACGCCCATCTGGAACGGTTTTGCCTTAGAGTACTCTAGGATTCATCGTTGTTCGTTGGTGTATCTTTCTCACACACACACACACATATATATATATGTGTACTTTCTCTCTCTTTCTCTCTCTCTCTTTCTCTCTCTCTTTCTGTTTCCTCGCCTTGACGGCTTAAACAAAGTCTACAAAGAGGTTGGATGCAGGCGACGTGACCACGCGGTGCAACCACTGGGAGGAACATCTTTTGCTTCGACGAGCAGATCACCGGGCGTGACGTTTACGACGGTTCCCTTGATAAAACCTAAAGCCATGAAGTTCGCCATTATTTTTTTTCTTTTTTTTTTTTTCTTTTTTTTCGCGGGTTTCGTTTTGAAATAAAGAAAGAACTAACTAACGATACGAGTACTATGTGATAATAATGATTGATTATCGGAATAAGAAGAAAATAAAATATATATGTCTTAACATGAGAAAATATAAGATTAAATTTATTAATTTATCTTTTTAGGGTTTTTAAAATGATCTATCTGTCTATCTTTCTCTCTCTCTCTCTCTCTCTCTCTCTCTCTCTATCTCTCTGTCTCGTAATATCAGTACGTTTGTAAAGATGATAAATGAGAAATTTATAAATAGAGAATAAATCATTGATCATTCGATTGAAGATTTTGATGAATGATACACGCATGTATTCAACGATTTGACTTTTATTAATATTTTTTTTTGATTTTAATGCACACGTCATATAGAAATTAACACATTGACTGTTAACTATGAGATATCTTGTAACGTGTGCTGCAACTTTAGATTTATTATTAAATGAGTATTTAAATATTAAGAATTATTTAAAAAGATTGAATATAATATATTTTGTATGGTCTAATAAATATTAATTATATGTAGATTCTATAATAATTAAAAACCAATAAATATTAATATATAAATAATATTAATTATCAATTATTGTTAATGTCATTAAAATATTATAGTAATGTATAATATATTATATATATATATATATATAATATAATATATATAATATATTAACATAATACTATAATATTTTATACTAATATTAATTTTATTAAATTATACTATAAAATTAATTTATATTATTATTACTATAATTACATAATATTATACAGTAACTTAATAATATTATATTTTCTATAATTTCATATATTTTTTTTGAAAATACACAACATATTATAGTTTTTTCTTTTTCTATTTTCTTTTCGATTTAAAAAGTTTAGAACAAATGTCAGATGAATTATTTTATTTCTACATTGACACATTGTATCACATGATCATTATCTTGTCATGACAGTTAATTAAAATATTCGGAATTTTTCAAAATTTTGTCAAATCTTTCGTATTAGTTAAAAAAAAAAAAAAAAAGAAAAATTTAAGAAAGAAATAGAAAAAATTCATATTTATTTTGTAAAATCTATGCATGTATACATAACTGTAATAATCGTATGAGAGATAAGAAAAGTATTTTCAAAGAAGTAAAAAAAAAAAAAAAACACGTTATTTAACGTGGCAAAATTTTTACACTTGAAACGTTTAAGAAAAATCTTGGAATAAATTTTTTCTTTTTTTTTTTCATAACAGTTCTTTATGACGAGGATGATACTGATTACAGTTATTATACTACGTGTTAAAATCTCACGTTTGTGCGATCTTCTTCTTCTTCTTCTTCTTCTTCTTCTTCTTTCCTTTCTTTCGATCGTTAGACGAAAAAATAGTAAAAGTTATATCCTTTAATCATTTTTTTATCTTACGTTGCCATAGAAAAGGTGAACGTTCTAACTAAAATCTTTAAGAAATTACGTAAGAATTTCCTAGAAAGTCGTTTTTTGGTTAGCCTCTTACTCAATTGAATAGAACTAAATTCTTTTTTAAATAATTTTTTAGATCATTTTTATTTAATATTTTATATAATTTGTATCTTTGTCTTGAAATAATAGTAAAAAAAAAAAAGAAAAAAAAAAAATAAAGAAAAAAAATTAGAAACACAAAATATATTTTAAGATTTTAATATTTATATAAATATATTACACTAATATAAATATATTAGATTAATATATTAATTTTATTTTATAATTTTTTTATTATAAATAAAATTATTATAAATTATTATTATAATATAAATAATTTATAATAATTTTATTATTAATTATATTAATATATTTTTTAATTAATTTAATTACCAATTATAATAATTTTATTTATAATATAAAATTTTTATATAATATAATTTTTTATTATAAATAAAATTATTATAAATTATTATTATAATATAAATAATTTATAATAATTTAATTATTAATTATATTAATATATTTATTTATTAATTTAATTATTACTTATAATAATATATTTATTTATTCATTTAATTACTAATTATAATAATATAAATAATTTATAATAATATAATTATTAATTAAATTAATATATTTATTTATTAATTTAATTACTAATTATAATAATTTTATTTATAATATAAAATTTTTATATAATATAATTTTTTATTATAAATAAAATTATTATAAATTATTTTATAATGTTTTAATATTATTTTAATAATATTTAATATAATATATTTATTATATATAAAAATTTACATTTATTTTAATTTACAATTACTTTACAATTAATTTACAATTATTTTATTATATAATATATATATGTATATATATATATATATATTTATATTAAATATTATAATATAAATATAATATATATAAATATATTATAATATATTATAAGATATTATATATTATCTTTAAAAGAAAAGATTATAATCAAAAGTTTTCTATGGTGGGATGGGGGGGAGGGTATGTGGGGAAAGGGACGTGTTATCAATTTTAAATTCTAATTATCGTTTCGTCAGACCTATCTTCGTGAGATAACTTTCATTTTTGCGGACTGGCTTTTGCTTAACTTTGATTTGCTTAATTCAACATGAAGATCTTCCCACCATCGTGAAATAAATTTATAGTGCGACAAAGATTATGAAAGTTACTTTTAGTGTTTCTAACGGTGGCTCGTAACTCATTAAAAAAAAAAAAAAAAAAAAAATAAAAAATAAAAAACGATTTAATGGTAAAAAATCACATAAGAAATAAACTCGAAAGTTAATCGTAAGTTTTTTTTTGGGGAGGGGGGGGTTCGGACCATTTCATTCGTTCTCACTCTTACCAGTTTTCTTCTTCCTTGTCTCTGCTAACGACTAACTATATTTCTGTCTGCCTTACTAACTTTCTCTCCAATGGTATTTTTTTTCTAAATGTATCTAAGAAAGGTACATTCAGGTCTTAACGATGTTGGAAGATTCTCATTAATCATATAATTCTATTTTTATGAATTTAGAAGACGGACGTTTTACTTGTCTCTGCAATAAGTGACACTTTGTATTAGGGTGAAGCAAAATTTGGTTGCTTTGATAATTTTACTTTTGAAATTGCATAATGAAAGATT